GCTGAGACCATCGTAGGTCTCTGGTACTGTAATCCATGGCTGAGACCGTCGTAGGTCTCTGGTACTGTAATCCATGGCTGAGACCGTCATAGGTCTCTGGGGTGAACTTATCACTGTTACTTTGCTAAGTGGGCATAGTATCCAGCTATCTTCCAGACATGTCTCTATTCCTATGGACTAGTGTAGCACTTAAACCTCAGCAGAGACAGCTTTTTTCAGTGAGTGGTGGTTAAGACAGGCTCATAACTGGGCAAAATGGAGAGAATAAGTAACTATAAAGTGTTGGTGCCTAAATGGGACATTTATATCACACACACACACTCAAAAAACATTGTGGAAGAAAGGGAGAAAATAAAAGCCAGGGTTTGAGGAACATGGCTGTGCAAAGCACTATCTTTAAGACATGGTACAACCAGTGCATCCATGAACTCACTGCAGCCCTGACTGTCTGCACATGACCTGCACAAGACTGGGCCTGTTACCACTGCACCCCGTGGGACAGAGGGGCTCCTGAGGTGCTCCCCACATGGGACTATTGACAGTTATGTGTAGCTGGGATAAGATGGTTGCCCTCTTCAATGGTGTAACCACTAGAAAATTGTTCAGTAGAAGAGAGAGGATAAATAAGATGAAGAGACACGGCAAGAATACCAAACACTCATTCTGTCCATGTATTAAACTGACAAAAAAATTTTTTTAAATGAGAGATAAATGAGAGGGAAAAAAAAAAGGCAAGTCAGGTGTGAGCACAAATGCTAATGGGCATCTCACCTGTGCATGGCTGAGGAAATGTACTCAAGTAGACGAAAGCTCCTGTTTGTACCCAGATTTCACTGAAAAAAAAAAAAAAACTAAAACCTTTGTCATCTTGAAAAGTCACCTTTGCCGGGCAGTGGTGGCGCACACCTTTAATCCCAGCACTTGGGAGGCAGAGACAGGCGGATTTTGAGAGTTCGAGGATAGCCTGGTCTACAGAGTGAGTTCCAGGACAGCCAGGACTACACAGAGAAACCCTGTCTCGAAATCCAAAACAAAAACCAAAAAAAAAAAAAAAAGAAAAGAAAAAAGAAAAGTCACCTTTAAGGGATGAACCTTGAGAGAGCACAATGTAGCCTTCTTTCTGTCACAAGTACCAACTATCATGAGTACCAAGTGCCCTGTATTCACAGCTACCAAGTGTCCTGCACATACAACTACCCTGTCCTGCACCCACAACTACCAAGTGTCCTGCACCCACAACTACCAAGTGCCCTGCACCCACAGCTACCAAGTGCCCTGCACCCACAACTACCAAGTGCCCTGCACCCACAGATACCAAGTGTCCTGCACCCACAACTACCAAGTGCCCTGCACCCACAGCTACCAAATGCCCTGCACCCACAACTACAAAGTGCCCTGCACCCACAGACACCAAGTGTCCTGCACCTACAACTACCAAGTGTCCTGCACATATAACTACCAAGTGTCCTGCACCCACAACTACCAAGTGCTCTGTGCCCTCTGCTTCTCATGGAAATCAGCCAAAGTTTAGGTGACTCATCTGCTTTTTGAGGTCTCTCTTCTCATGAAAATTGAGGCTCAAATTTCATGACTCTATGCAAAGGGAAGTAAAACTTTCTACCTGATCAGAACAAATTTAATATTAAGTTGCTAGTATCAAATGGACTTGAGTACTACTGTGGAGAAAACCACCCTACTCCGTCCCACAACAAGATTCAGAAACCATCTGAGCACTAGAATAGCTGCTCTCTTTCAACCCTTTTCCTATAACCCAGCGTGCAGTCCCCTCTCCAGACCCTCCCTTAACAGACAAGAAGAAGAGCACTGTTTGAGGACACCAGGTTGACCATATAGTTTTTCCCACATGTTTGCTATTGATTTTTATGGGTATATTTGGCCCTTAAGACCCTTATACTTCCTTTTGTAAAAGCCATATCTCAGTTAGAACTCCATCCTTACTGCCAAAGACTGCAGTTTATGAGATTTTATTGTACTTATTAGATAAAAAGTTATCCTAACAGCTTCATTGATGCTGGCAAAAAGACTAAAAATGACTTTTTAGTGACATCAATAGCAATAGTCAGACTGTGAGTATTCACAGCTGACTCTGACCCTCACCTCTCACATAGAGGAATGCTGGCCTCTTGCACTTCGAGTAGACTCTATATCTTCTAAGCTCTTTATGTGAATATGCATGAAAAGCATGCTCAGAACATAGGTAGAGCCTTTGCTTAGGAGACATATAGAAACATGAGCCCCACATAGAATTATCTCTCGACAGAAATTGTTGGATTGGATGAGTGAGTTTAAGGCAGAAAAATCAAAGATGACTCTCCCATTTTTTAACATCTGGTAGTGGTCAGACTGGGACAGTTAGGAAAAGAGATCAAGCTTGGGTTACACATACTTCCTTTATACTTATTAAATACTAAACATAATATGTGATAGTGACAGTTGAATATGTAAATTTCGAAGCATACAGAGTAAGTCTGAACTAGTAAATGTCTGGATATAAACAATATAGCAGGAATATAAGTCATGAGAACTTAATGATGAAGGCAAGATATTAAAATCCCAAAGTCTAAGACACTCTGGACCTTAAAGCTCAGGTCGGAAGGGACCAGGAACAATCACCCAGTCTAGCAAAGGATATGTCTAGAAAGCCAAAATAATAAAAGGATTATTGATGTCAAATGTTGCTATAAGTTTAAAGATAAGGTCAACCATAGGAATTGCTGATACAACAGAGAGCTGTAGGTAAACACAGACTTTTAATCATGCGACTTACCAAAGGAACTGGACACGTGACTTCTGAAGAAACCAAATTCATTGACAACAACCACCTGCAATCCAGTCCTCTCATCACTGAATATTTATGTTTTACTATCTCAGATTCTGCATAAATACCATTATACAAATGTAAAGAGAACAAGAAAGTCTATGAGAAGTCTTGGCAAGCAGTCAGGAGCAACCCACACAAATGATGCTTGCTTTGAAATCCTAAACAATGTTTTCATGAATATCCCAAACACAGAAGATCCAACATAATTAGCACACAAACTTAGCTGTGATAGGAACTGAGTAATGAACGATTCTGACTGTCTAACTTGGGCTTGTCTCAGTGTTCTCTTTAGTTGACTATATGATGGAATTTATAATGGGACACTCACAAGCCAAACTCTTTTGTAGGTGCAGACGACGACAATGTGCATTTCCGTTAGCTTGAGTGGTTTCGTGGTCCTGGGCTGTTTGTTTGCCCCCAAGGTGCACATTGTCCTGTTCCAACCCCAGAAGAATGTGGTCACACACAGACTTCACCTCAACAGGTTCAGTGTCAGCGGAACTGCCACCACATATTCTCAGTGTAAGTATGGAACTTCCCATTCATAAATAGCACCACTAGGGTACCTGGGACATCAAGGTCCAACAAAGCATGCCAATCCCCAAAAGAATCCCAGAGCAGCATTGATACATTCTATTTTGCATATTGAATTAGAATGTGTATCAGGCTGAGCCACAGGCTAAGGTTACGGTACAGGGCAGAAGACTCACCATTTCTTTTGGGTGCCAGGTGGCACCTATAAAGGAAGAAAGACAATCAACTCATTAATTCAATTAATTAATTAATTAATTAATTCCATTAAGCTTTTTGACCAGATCATGTAGCCCATGACCAGCCTTCTAATATTTTTGCAATAATCCCTTTGGATGCGTTAGGGGTGTCTCTGAGTTGCCCTCTGCCTCACTTTACTCAGTGACTGGAGGGAGGTGGTCTCTAAAGAATCCTCAGTGTCAAACACTGTTCACGAAAAGTGCAAGTGAGGAGATGATCAGAGGAACGACTACCGGCTAATACCACCCGTTTTCCAAAGTTCAAACATTTCTATTAACACAGGGAAGCTAATGGCCTGGAGAATCTTCTCAATGAGGGCACTTGTGTAGTCCTGTTATATTTTACCTCAGGAAAATTCAAGTAACATCCCATGACAGAACTTTGAAAAGTGCTAGCCTAGATCTTCCTGATTAACTGACACAAGTAATTCCTAGCTGAAGGCAGCTGAGAGGCCTACATGAACAGGATTCCAGGATCTCTCCTCAGACCACTGTTCTCTCCCCTACTAGCCATTGACTGAAACACTGTTATTCCAAAACACATGGTTCAATCTTTTGAGTTTTCTAAAGCACAAAGGTATCTGAAGCAGACAGTTTTTTAAACTGCTTTTAGTTAATCTGTGGTACAAAGTTGGAGACATTCACTGACAGAGAGTGAGAGAGAAAGGGGTGGAGCCACAGGGGAGAGAGGTCTTGGAATGTCAGAGACAAATGATTGTTTCTAAATTTTGCTTCCAGTCAATAAGAAAGAATACTTGAAAACAGCTCAGCATCACAGGGCAACAAGTGCATTAGTAGCCCCAGTTTCTCCAACAAAGTATTGAATGTAACAATGTAATGGGGCAACCTTTCCTTAGCAGAAGAAAAACAGACAGGGTAGCAGCCCACAGGTGTTCTGAGATGCAGCATATACCCTTAGCTCTGAAGCCCAGAGCCACTGTGACTCAGGGATCTACTCACTTTCTACCGAATTCCCAGGTTTTCCAGCGGGCAAGTAAACTTATAAAATAGAGAAAACACTTATTTCTCAACTAAACAAAATTTCTATAGCTAACTAGTTCAGACAATTAAAAACAAAACAAAAAGCCTGGCAATAAAGATAATGATATTCATAGACACTATCACATACCCAGTATTTTTTATGTGATGGGCATTATGCTAAATACTGTATGTGTGTGTGCCTGCTCACTCCAGTATGTGGGTGACATTTAATTTAATGTTCAAAACTTTTGAGATAAAAAACTTTTGAGATAATGAACGGGGTCATTTGTTTTTAAAATACCTGAATCAGAACTAAGCAACAGTACTTCTGATATCCAGCCAGTATACCTAGCTGTAGTACCATGCTACCTGAACCAGAAGCATGCAGGATTACTTCTGATGCTAGGTGTTTAATGGCTCTCACCAGGAAGACACAGTGACAGCCACCCTATTCTGAATAGAAGTTTCCCTTGGGTCTGTTGATAGCTCAAAGCTCTATTGGCTCTTAGAGATTGATCAGAATGACTTAACATAGTCTCTAAGTCATAACAGACACGTGCAAACCAGACCTCAATAACCCAGACCTAAGTAGCATGTTCTAATACACATGAGAGAAATTATTAAATTCCTCAAAAAAATACTGCACTCTTTACTCAATCAAATCTAACCTCAGAGATTGTAAAATATCCATTTACACAAAAATATTGATAAATGGGGTTATACCAGATCCACTGCTGCTCTGTAAGCTAATCGAGTAATGGTCAAATTAGTGCTTTAAGGTAGATGTCTACCCAATGTAACGTTTTTCACATTGTTATCTCCGGAGTATCTCAGAGCTCACTGTTTCAATAGTGTTGCCCTAATTCATTTATCCCAACCAAGGAAGCAGTACTTTCTAGCAAAATGAAGAACTGATACAATATCCATTTCAATAGCAGAAATAACAAATATGCTCATCTGTAGTTCTGTGTCTAATGTAGCTTAATTTTTGCAAATTTATTTTATCCTCATGATTTCAGATATTATGATTTCTAGTTTGTAGCTAAGAAAATTGAGAATTACTTGGGTGTGTAGATAGCTCAACGCTCTTGTTTACTATTGGAACAACATAGTTTTTAAGTCTTTTTTTTTAATTTTCGAGACAGGGTTTCTCTGTGTATCATTATAGTTTATAAAAATACAAGATTATATTGTAGCTTAATGACAGTAGCAAAAACATATCTTTAAGTTAGTGATCTTCAACTTTTTAATGTTGTAAACTTTTAAAATAATATTAAAATCACTATTTACCGGGGCAGGACAGAAGCCATATGAAAACCTTATCTCAACTGAAAAGTGTCTTTGGAGACCTTTTCTTCAGGTTGGGTCGCTGCCCTCAATCAAGATGGCAGTGAAGCTGGAACTTCCCACAACAAAGATAGCTGGCAGTCACATGAATGCTCTCAATCTGGGTGGCACTGACCCTATAGCCAGTCATCTGGCGGCCCTTAAGCAAGATGGCACTGAAACTATAGCTCTGCCCACCCTTTATCCAAGATGGTAGCAAGGTACATGTTTGTTACATCCCAGAATGGAACAACATTCATTTAAAGGAGCATGTAGTGGCTGTATATTAGCAAAGAGACAAAGAGATGTTAATGTGAAGAGATTTCCCCCACCACACCCCACCACACCCCACCCCAACACCGCAGCAGCCTCTGCCCCAGCAGCTCCCTTACTCAGGTCCCAATGCACAATCCAGTCACTGCCCGACACTTCTCCTGCCATAGCAGGCTTAGAACTGGTACAGACCAGAATAGAAAGAAATCAGAGATAAATAAAATTCAAGAAGTAGAAGTTTAAAAGTTTTAAAAGTAGGCAGAGCGAGCTAAACCCAAAGTAAAATCTGGAGAGTGTTTTTAGAGCGGCAGAGCAGGGAGCAAGAAAGAGTCGTTGGAGGGCTGCAAGTAGGTGCTAGCCTGGGATGGCTAGAGTGGCCTGTAGCTGCCAAGGGCAGGGAGGAGTCTGGAGAAGCTAGGGGAGGAAAGGAAGCTGAGGAGGTCAGGGGAGTAAGGGAAACGGAGGAAGCCAGGGGAGCAGACGAGGTTGTAGGGGCTGGTCCTGGGAGGGTAAGAAATAGGCACAATAGCTGGATCAAGGATAGTGGAAGTTTCATCTGGTTGAAATTTTATAGCTAGTAGGACCTGAGTTGGGAAACAGGAAGAACAAAGAGAAGGTTTGGATCGAAGGCAGGAAAAAGCCTGCAGATAGGAAACATGTCGCTGGCAACAGTCATAGAGGTACTTTAAAATAATAGAATCAAAAGTACTGTTAAGCGGCCACTTAAAGTCACTATCTAGTGAGTACTGGGGCCAAATTTGATTGCAATAGTATATGAATTTGGAAGCCTTCAAGTCAGGTACTAGTTTTAGAGGTTTGAGGTTCTCCAGAAGGCTACCCAGTGGGGAGTACAGATGACGACATGATACCCATAGGTGAGGATAATGGCATTACTACTATCACTAGCAGCATCCCGAGGATAGAAAATAATAACAGAACACTTGTGGTACAGCCTGGCTTACCAGGCAACCAAGGACAAACATGGCAGATGCCCGAGAAAACAGAACACCCAGTACTGAGATTTTCGAGAGAAAAGAGAGAGAAATCTTGAGAAGAGAGAGATTTCATACAAGGAAAAAAGTCCTAAGGTGGTGGTGGTGGTGCAGGGTGGGGATGGGGGGAGGGTAGTGTCAGCAAGAATGGCCAGTGGTAGCTATGAAGTTCCTCCATCCTCAATGACTCACTGTGAGCTCAACAGACATTCCCTTGGGACCAGAGGGCCTTTTATAATGAACAAGGGGGAAACTTACCAATTTGTCAATGTTTGGATGGAGGGATCCACTGAGAGGACGGCAGGAAGGAGAGCCTTCATGGCAGGCAGAGTTACTTGTCAGGATGAGGCCCAGGCCTGTGAGCTTACCCCACTTGGCTGAATCCATGAATTTAATAATGAGTCACAGCATAATTGATATGTTTTATAAATGCAGTGGTATGATGCGGTGGGATAGTGTGCCTTAGGAACCCCATGCTGAGGCATGCCCCCCTCCCGGTGTCAGACGTCTGACAGGTCAAGTTTAAAAGGAAGTTTATTTGGGACCTGAGAAGGGGGTCTGGGGAGGGGGGAAAAAGCAAGGAAAGAGGCCAGTCAGGAACATGCGGGGAGAGAGGAAGAAGATTAAGGGGGGGAGGAAGGGAAGAGGTTGGTCAGGAACAAGTGGAGAGAGGTGGGAGGGAGGGAAGAGAGGCAGAAAGGGGTCGGGTGGGGGAGAGACAGAGAGAGAAGGGACAGAGAGAGTAAGAGAGCAAGGAGGGGCCAAACAGCCCTTTTTATATTAAGCCAGGTCTACCTGACTGTTGAGCAGAACACAAAAGGAATGCTAACAACTGTGAAACGTGTTGTCCTATAAACGCTTACAGAAACTCTTAAGGCCTTCTGAATCCATTAGGTAGAACATAGATTTTACTTAGAGTGTGAGCACAGCCACTGGTTTTAAATCTCCAAATTTATCCAACTTCAGATCAAGAAATATTTGAGAGGAAAATATATAAAAGCACTAAGTATATCAGACTGGTTTTCAAGTCATTTAACAATGCAGTATACCAGCTATGTGCAGTACATAAAGTATAAGCAACCAGGAGATGATATAAAGTATATGACTGATGGTTGTAGATTACAGGATAACACCATTTTACAAAGGGACTTGCTTATATATTCATGTCTGTGGTAGGGAA